AATAACAACTTACATTATGTTCATATTTAGGTAAACAGATTCACAGCACCGTACAAATAATGCGTTTTCCATTTTCAATAGACAATGGTTTGAAATGCAGCTGAAACTCTTTTAAGAGTTAGGTACAGTCGACAACACATCTGTCCACACATTGTTATTGCAGAATAGCATCTATTTCAACTACATAAGTGTCACTCAATGCTTAATTTGACGTACTGTCTGTACAAGCATTCCTGCTCTGTGTAGCGTACTTTTAATTGTGCTGCCGCATGCTGCATTGCTGACGTTAATTAGACAGTTATCAAGCTGTGGAAAATGAGAGATAATGATTATCCGACGTTTGAGGTGGCTTTTAGACGGAGCTTTTAGCTGTGCATTAACAGATTCCTTTCTGTGTGTAAGTAAGTAAACGTTTTGTGGATTTGCTTATGAGGATTAAATCTGTGTATACGCATTTACAGAAAAAGTAATTTACTTGTATTTTGAACTCTGAACAAATAAATAATATCCTTGGATATTTTACACTACGCTTCTAGTCCCAAACTAAACAAAGCTTGTACTATGGGTACTAGATCAACAGTAATCTAGAACTGTTAAAATCAATAAAAGAAAATAATATCGGAAAACAACTCTGACTTTATGAGATTCAAATGCGATAAAATTCTAAAAATAGCGCAAACAATATGCGAAAGCCAATATTGTATTGTGCGTAATTCAGTTCGCTTACCCTACGCACTGTGATTAGAGTTAATATTGAAGTAGTACATAATAAATAATATATTATGTATTCACCGTGTTTGCTTCTATGTGTGCTTTAGGTAATGGGAAATACGAACGACTCATTTTGAATTCCAAATCGTGGCAGACTAGCGAGCGCCCCTAACTCTGTCTGGGATGGATGGAATACTCGTACTTATGCTCCGCTATTTTGTTCCTTTTCCGCAACATTCCAGTCTGGCTTGGGTGAGAGAGACAAGTTAAGATGATCAATTAAAATTATTTCGTGGTGCAGACCACCCCTCATTTTCCGGTGTTCATATTAGACCGAGAAAAAATTAAAACCGTTTCCGTGTCATGACAGTATACGAGTAGCTTCAGTGGAACGTACGAGTTATTTTAAACAATGCTGTATGATGATAAATTAAAATAATTCAATTTTGTTGTGTTTAGGATTATGTATAAGATAGCTTGTAGTATGTAAAGATCTATTAATGTACCTCTTTTCGACGAGACCTCATGACAATTTGGTAAGTAGGTACTATAGTGCAAAAATTTACGCATCAGCTAACGAGCGCACCACACTCTTGAAGGTGTAAGCTTAACGAGTCCTTTCTTGTTGAATGTTTCATAAGTGTGCATGTAAACAGTAATTACAAGCGTGGCTAACGTAAGACAAAGGAGACAAAGAAGCGGCACGTGCTGTTTTGTTAAGGATTGTTTTCCACTGCTACCTCTACCTACTTATATGTTTATTTAACTCGTATTAAGTATACTCGGTTTGTTTTACGCGAAACTAATAACATACGTAGTACGTACAGTGTAAACAGCTAGTAAGCAATTTTTTTAAAATAAATTCGTCCTTCTGAATATGTAGCTATGTACGCTATGTAAGGTACTTACTTATTTTCAACCGACTTCAAAAAAAGGAGGAGGTTCTCAATTCGACCCGTATGTTTTTTTTTCTATGTTTGTTACGCGATAACTCCGCCAATTATGAACCGATTTGAACAAATCTTTTTTCGGCGTATAGGTAATGCCTCAAGGGTGGTCCCATTTAANCCCACGTATCCGACGTTTGAGGTGGCTTTTAAACGGAGCTTTTAGCTGTGCATTAACAGATTCCTTTCTGTGTTTTGTAAGTAAGTAAACGTTTTGTGGATTTTCTTCTGTGGATTAGCTCTGTGTATACGCGTTTACAGAAAAAATAATTTACTTGTATTTTGAACTTTGAACAAATAAATAAATATATACCTTGGACATTTTACACTACGCTTCTAGTCCCAAAATAAGCAAAGCTTGTACTATGGGTACTAGATCAACAGTAATCTACAACTGTTAAAATCAATAAAAGAAAATAATATCGGAAACCAACTCTGACTTTATGAGATTCAATTGCGATAAAATTCTAAAAATAGCGCAAACAATATGCGAAAGCCAATATTGTATCGTGCGTAATTCAGTTCGCTTACCCTACGCACTGTGATTAGAGTTAATATTGAAGTAGTACATAATAAATAATATATGTATTATGTATTCATCGTGTTTGCTTCTGTGTGTGCTTTAGGTAATGGGAAATACGAGCTACTCATTTTGAATTCCAAATCGTGGCAGACTAGCGAGCGCCCCTAACTCTGTCTGGGATGGAAGGATTATATTCCGCTGTTTTTGTCTCTTCTCCATGATTAGTAGTCTGGCTTGGGTGAGAGAGACAGATGAAGATGATAAATTAAAATTATTTCGTGGTGCAGACTACCTCCGCATTTTCCGAGGTTCACATTAGACCGAGAAAAAATTAAAAGTTTCTGTGTCATGCATAACGCAACTTCATTAGAATCATTCAATGCTTTATTAAATGAATAATTAAAACAATTGAATATCGGAATAAAGCATATTGTACGAGTATGTAGCTTAGGAATAGATAGCCTGTAAAATTTAAAGGTTTATCCATATAGGATATCTCGTCAAATACTGTAGACAAATTGTACGCATCAGCTAACGAGCGCACACTCTTGAAGGTGTAAGCTTAATGAGTCCTTTCTTGTTGAATGTTTCATGAGTGTGCATGTAAACAGTAATTACAAGCGTGGCTAACGTAAGACAAAGGAGACAAAGAAGCGGCACGTGCTGTTTTGTTAAAGACTGCTTTCCACTGCTACCTCTACCTACTTATATGTTTATTTAACTCGTATTAAGTATACTCGGTTTGTTTTACGCGAAACTAATAACATACGTAGTACGTAGTGCAAACAGCTAGTAAGCAATTTTTTAAAAATAAATTCGTCCTTCTGAATATGTAGCTATGTGTAGGTACTTACTTATTTTTCTTTGTTTGTTTGAAACTTAAATCACCACCAAACAATAGGTATTATTTCAGCTTAGGCCAAAGATTAACTAGCAGGAAATACATCATAGTATTAGGTTCGCCTTATATACGAATTTATGGGGCATTACATAATAAATACACAGTGGAGGTTAACCTTTATTGCAGCGCACGTGTCAGCAAAGTAGACTGCAGAGGCAACGGCCTTAATGCAAATGCAACACAAACTTATTATTCACCATGTTTAGTCGCGTCACCCTAAAATAATATCTGTTGATAATATAGCAACACTGAGACCAAAACTAAGACAAAGACGCAGCACGTGGGGTAATGCAACTGCACGTGTATCAGTCAGTATGTAGAGTCAATGGCTTCCTTGGTTAGTTGCAAATGCATCTAGCGAGTTATTATTTTTTCATGACAAATCTTTTAACAACCACAAGGAACGTAAAATAAAGCGACGTTACAAATGATAACATGCGTACTTTTATGCTAGTCAGTTACTTATAGTGTTAAATACAATGTAATATGGCGTGAAAATGTATGCTTTTGCGATGAAACAAAAACGCAAAAGACCCACGTTTTGGCAACGACATTGAATGTGTATTTTGCGCGTCCACAAATATTGTCATTATTTACCGTCCCAAAATATTCAAATGACATTCAAGATTCTAATAATACTAAAAACTGAAAATTTATAGAGCTATTAAAGCATTACGGGTAAACAAAAGAAAGTTTTACTCGTTATACTAAAGGAAGATTCAAGGCACCTAACTACTTGCTTGCGATTCGGCTTTCATAAGTAATGTCTTCCATTAGGCCAAGGAGAGTCTAAATTTAGTTGCTCTAAAAATAAGAACTTATTTACAATAGCACAGAGCGCTAAATAAAGCTTGTTTTAAATATAAACAAAAGTTTATAACAACGCGCTAAAACTTTGATACGAATAAGAGTGTTGAAAATAAATCTTAGTGTAATAAAACTACAAAGTATTTATTCATTTTACCAACCTTTCCCGAAGCCTGTAAACAATTTCCTACCCAAACATTTGTTAAATTCCTTCAAAATCAAGTCAACCACTGAATCGATAGACACTTCCCTCTTGATTTCCAACTTTCGTTGATTTGCCAAGTTCTCAGCTGATCAAAATAATAGCGTAACTTGTTCTAAACATCACTTCACTACATTTGGGGGGTAGTTTGTTTGATTCTGTGGGAAATTAGCGTGATTTAAGTGTGGGTTTTCGATTGTGGGATGTTTATAAGCGATGTTAGGTTATGTTTAGTGCGGGGACAGGCCGCGCGGCGCTTTCAGCGGCCGGCAGAGAGCGACTGAGTGCGCAAAGGCGGGCGGCTTCAGGCAATTCTACACCTTCCTGCAGCATTGATATGCGCTATCTCTTTTCTTCACAAAAATATGCACATGCTGTAAAAGAGACAGCTAATATCACTTTCACAAGTACTTTAATTCGAAACAGTTGCCACTGAAATACAAGTCACGAGTCAGCTGTAAACGGTTCGTGGTTATGGTCTTTGTTTGATGTTTCAGATTTGGGGTATCAACTTGTTCTGTTGACGATCTGAATGGGGATTTAATCTCGTTAGAGAGATGGGACGGGATGAGCATCGACAAAATCTTTTTTTTTCTGTAGGAAAAATTTTAGTCAAACAATCGTAAACAAGCGAAAGGAGATGTGAAAGAACTTTCGCAGTGGTTAGGTTTGTTTTAGTTATAGCGTACATTACATAAAGGTAACTTATCTAGACTAAACATTTTCGTATTTTAAAAATATTTTCCGCTTTCCCTGCATGGATCATCAATAAAATTCAGTCATTTGGCTCAGAAAGAGAAATATTTAAGGCGCAAAACAGCGACTGTTTAATCGTTTCAAATTATGGCTTTATGAATGCGAAAGCCGTAAATTATTAATTTGTATTATTTTACGTTCAATTACTGCACAATGTATCGACCGTCTATTATAATGGCTCTTTTAGTATTTTCTACGGAGTTTGATCTTTTGCTATGCCATCTAAAAGATTTAGGAGAGAAAAATGACACTATGTCGGTGTTGTTTCAGGAGTTCGAAGATAGAGTCTTAGGTGGGGAAAGCACAACTTTACACGAATATCCTTTTAACGTGCAGTTCTTTAACTACGGGGGAATGTGCGGGGGATCCATTTTGACCAGGAAAACTGTTTTGACTGCAGCGCATTGTTTTGACCATAACAAAAATGTAGCTGAGATGACCGTGATTTCAAGTAAGTTCGTCAAATATTTATAAAAAGCGCATGAAGGAAAAAAATTGTGATAATGTCCATAAAATGAATAATCATAAGTACTCGTAGGTATCTATCACTTATAGTTTTTCAAGAGATCCCACATTTACAAGTTCAGCGTTTCAAACTGCCAAGGTTATCCCTTTATTTTAAAGGCATAATAACATATCAATTTCGGCAGTATAAAGAAATTAGTAATTAGATCTGACCCGCAGGTCAACCTTAATTAAAAACAACATTAGGGCCCCATTTCTCGTAGCCATTATGTCGCAGGTTATTATTCCATACCCGCATCCATCTTCCGGATTGACGGAGGGATGGATAGGGTCAGCATATTTTACTGTCAGTTTAAACTTTGAGTGTTTGGGTATCAAGCGAAATAGCTTAAATACCTAATGGGCGAATATATTTGCAATAGAACCTTTGTGGTTTATGTCGTGAAAGTGTAATGTCGCAGTGGGTAAACCTTTCTTCTTTTTATAAATTTACACCCTCTTCTAAGCACTTTATTTCATAATCCGTTTTCTAAAATAGCGTAAGTAATAAATTAGTTACTCATATTTTCGTAACAATAAATGAAAGAGTTTTATGTAACCTCGTTAGTTCGTTTGAGCCAAATGACGTTCACTGCTGGACAAAGGTCAAAGCTCCCCCAAGGATTTCCACAACGATCGGTGCTGCGCCGCCCGCATCCAGGCACCTCCCGCGACCCTCACCAAATCGTCGGTCCACCTAATAGGGGCCTGCCCACACTACGTCTTTCAGCCCGTATATAGTAATCTAAATATATTCAATATCTCCGCTCTTCCATCACGGATATTCGATACTCACGTTCAGCAAAACGCTTCTTTCAGACTCGCTCTACATCCGCCATGCTCGCACATCGAGACGCCACCCAGTATGGGACTTTGTGATCCACGAAAAATACGACGACCCCATCAAGTACGCCAACGATATGGCAATGATTATCATCCATGACGTCTTCAACCTCACTGAAACCGTGCAGATGGCGGTACTCACGAATAGCATAGCGTGGATGAACGAAACCAAGGCCAAGTTTATTGCTACTGGGTGGGGAATCGTTGAGGTAGGTTTGATGGATATTCACTGAAAAAAGTTTTCAATCATTGTGTTTTAGCGTAATCACTGATCAGAAATGAATTACACTGAATATAGGATATAGGTATACAAACATAAAACAGGATATAGGTGGTATGTATACATGTATTGAAATCGGTTTTATTTTACAATAATTGCACTCAATTGATAAATAAATTTAACTGCTTCTTGTACATATAGTTACCTAAGTTAAAACTTTATCTGTTTTGGTCTTGCTCACTTTAAGCTTGCAGTAAGTAGATAAAGGAAAAAAATTAAAATCTTGTTTTTTAAAAAGCTTGTAAATCGTAGGTATGACCTAGTTCTTGATTAGTTGGATTGTTTCCAAATGCATGTTAGCTTCCGACTCTTACACGGTGGCATATACTATGTAAGGTCGAATATAGTGTTATATAGCGTTATGTGTTTACATTACTAGGCGTTTATTTCGCGTCAGTTCCCGCCCTGCGGAAGACATACCCGATGTTGGCTTAGGCTCCCCCGGCGGCGCCGACTATGATGAGTCATTTCCGCCTGGTCCGAACGAGTCACGATGTACCTATACAATATAGACTATTTTCGAATGAAAGAGCTTTAAAGTTACCCTTTTTCCACAAAGATTCCATAAAAAGCGCGTAGGTGCGGGTTGATTAATGAACGTCTTCTATCAAGCTGATTGTAACAACTTAGCTTAAACTATGGCGACTGGAACAAAGTTAAATTAGATATGCCCCCAGCAAGACTCGAACCTATAAAGTACAGCTAGTATTGTCATCTAATTCCTCCGAAATAAATAGGTCATACTTAGGCTAGTTCTAAAAATTACTCATAGTTGCCTTAAAATAATTATTGAATGATGACTAATGAAAGAAGGGATGTGTAGGTAGTAGGTTGGTGGGTGCTACGCGTACATATCCTGAAAAGTAGGGACATTTAGGCGAGTAAAAGTCGTATTCAGAGATTGTGACTCCATAAAACGATACATTACTATACAACACCATGCGACATCCTAGCTGATCCATCAAATTTTTTACGCCTCCAAATCCTGCTTGAAGCACATTTACGGAGGCCACTTGGGAATGTACCGTAGTCTGAGAAAACATTTCCCTTTTGTTTATTCAGTATTTTTGATCCAGCTATTCAGACCTATTTTCGGAAGCTTTCATACCTCAACGCAACGAGTAAAATATCCATTGGAACGTTTTCGTTTTGTGTTTTTTTTTCTTTTTTTTTTAGTCCCATTCAAGCCATAGAATTAAAAAGTTCTATATTAGTACGAGTACTGTCATTGTGTACGTGGTGATTGAGTGCTTATTGCTTATGAATACCTATAGTTATGTTTTTGTAGATGAGGCGGCGTGCTCTCCAGAAAACTACCCTGCGCTATGTACCAAATAAGGAGTGCTCAGATATGAATGCACTTCAATTAACGGAGGGGATGTTCTGCCTGTACGGAGACCAGCAGCGAGACACTTGTCGGGGAGACTCAGGAGGAGGGATCGTGTGGAATAAGTAAAATAATTCTTTTGTAACCTCCTGATGAGAAGGGTGAACACTCTAGAGAGAATACATTATTTCACTTTGCATATTTACACCATCAATCACCAGAACTTATATAGACATTTACCTGTCTTGTGATTTTGCTTCTAGTTTGCGAATGGATTCTCATGAATCACACATCTTCAAGACAATTTAATTTGTGATCTTTCTCATATCAGTTATTTCAGTGATTCAAACACATTTTAGACTCAATTTGACATGCACTCTACACTAGTAATTATTATGTTACTCTAGAAATATTTCGGCGGCGATACAAATGTGAAGACCATATCTAACCACCCAGTAATAATTATACATAGTAAGTACACAAAATATCTTAAAAACTAATATGTTATTTCAGCGTCGTGGTTGGCTTAGTGTCGCATGGAGTCGGTTGTCTCAATGTGCCCAGTATTTACATGGATATATACTACTTTAGGGACTGGATCCAAAAATCGGTGTCTACGTTATACATACGATATAGCAAGTTTCATGAAAAGAATTAAAATATTTTGGATGGTTTCTTTCATTTAATATACCTTCGTATTAAGTAGATAAACCTGCCACAAAAGGTATTATCTGAAAAACCTAAGCTGTAAAGAATATATTATATCTTACGTAGACAATGAGTCATTTATGGTTGTAAAATGCTGCCCATCTACATTTACGTTTAAGGTAAAACATCTTTATGCCAATAACGTTATGAGTTGCCATGGAATTATTTGATGTTACTACCTAGAAGCTATAAAACTCTGTCAACTGGCAGTTAAATGACTTTACAATCGGCAATCATAATAAGGTACATTAAAATCCAATTAAGAGATTAATCTCTAGAGTAAGTTGCTTTAGCTTTTGATTAATTCCGTTAACAATTCCGCAAGGTACTATGCGAATATGGCTTTGCTTACAGAGCGTGATAATAGCAGTTTATTCTCAAGAAAAAGGAATAGATATAAAGGGAAATGCTAATGTGACAGCAGAGGGTAAAATAGTAGGTGGGAAGCCGGTGACTCGGCAGCAATACCCTAGTGCTTGCCTCTTCTTCAATGTTGGAGCGCAGTGTGCGGGCACCATCATCAATACCTGGACCATTCTTACTGCTGCCCACTGTTTTGATGATAACAAGGACAAAGATCAAATGGTAATAGAATTAGGTAAGTACATGAGAGAAAAATAAATGGAATGTTTAGACAACGTTAACATCAATTAATAATCATCAAATTACGAGTATGTACGTATTTGCCTTGTTATTTGGGCTTTTACCTTGTACTTAACTTCAAAAGTAGGTCAGAATAATAATTTGATCAATAACATGACATCCATACATCAAGCTCATGTAATTGTGTTTCCATGGAGTGTTACTTAGAAGGAATAAACTTTTATATGAAAACATAGCGATGTAGAGACATTTTTGGGGTTCTTGTCTTTTAGCTTAATACTGGTGTATTTGTTTCAGAATCAAGATATTTGTATGATTTTACTGCGAGAGAATATGATGTGAGCTCATTCGTGATTCATGAAAATTATAATAAATCTGCCAAGTTTGCTTGCGACATAGCACTGATTTTCTTAAAGAAGCGGATCAAGTTTGGCTCAAAAGCTAAAAAAGGAGTGCTAGTGAATCACAAAAGATGGATGAATGTGAAAGAAGAGAAATTTGTTGCTACCGGATGGGGCTGGACTTCGGTGGGTAAAATGGAAATATTTACCATCAATTTTATATTTAAGGCTAGCTGTGCCGGAGACTTTATACGGGTGATGATCGTTTGATGGTTTTTCACGTCTCCGCAACATTTTTGATTGATGCTCTGTGTGCCTACCATGAGTTTACGTTAGGTGAGCTCGCTAGCGAATACGTCAAAAAATTATATGAAGATTGTATTTCTTGAAAGTAGCCGCTAGGGGCGCTGCACAATATGTCATACATTTAAATGTCATTTTTTTACGCAGTCGCTAGCGAGCACACCTAACGTAAACTCATGGTAGGCACACTGCTCCTATTGGTATAAAATAATCTATAGCCTTCCTCGATAAATAAGCTATCCAACACCAAAATATTTCTAACATCAGACCATCAGTAAGTTCCTGAGACCAGCGTGCTCAGTCTCTTCCGCTTTATACTTAAAAGATATCAGCTGTCAAGATATGAATCCTAGGAAAGATGGTTCCACTTTGTACCCTACTAAAACCCTTTATAATACGACGTGCCAAGGATTGCGCAATACATTTACAAGCTTTTATTTACTTTAGCCTCCCCCAGTGTCTGTGACTAATCAAATCGTACAAGTTCAATTCGGCGTGAGAGTAACTTCTAGGTGTACAATTGAGCTGATATTTTGCATGTACGTATCTTATGTAAATCCTATTGTACAAGTTATATAAAGTTGGAGCCAACTTTATATAACTTGCACAATAGGATTTACATAAGATACGTTATAAGAAACCTTGATGTACACAAAAAAAATCTATTAATGTGTACCATAACGTAATTTTTATATTCAACCAATAAATAAATAGTTTCGATTTCAATTTCTGAGATAAGGATATTAAATCAATGATTAATAATATCACAACTATGGAATAATTTCCAACAAACTTTAATAACCACTATTGAGTTGGGTATTCCTTTTGACCAACGGTTCCCAAACTTATTTTGTCTGCTGCCCACTTTGAGAATAAATTCTTTTTAGCGCCCCCATTTGTAGTCGAGTGTCGAGTGCTCAGTCGGTGTCTAAGAGTCCTCCTAGTAATTGACGCCTCCCAAGCCTATACACAACGTCCAGATTTTTTTTTCTGGGTCTCTTACTTACCGCCCCCCTTTAAGCCTGCAGCGCCCACAAGGGGGCGTTATCGCCCACTTTGGGGAAGACTGCTTTTGACGATAACAGATTTTGACTGAAATTTGACGAAGCTACGACGGTAAACACTCATCTATTATTTGCGGGTAGAGTTTATGAAACTGGCATGCCAGCGTAACGCATCCTGCTATAATACATATAAAAATTTCCTGAAACAAACTTGACCTACATTGGTTAGGTGTTTATTGGTGGTTAAGCTGTAGATCCTGGCTACACGGGAGAGGAACCAGAATCGCAGAGGTGGGAATCGTCCTTTTTGATCCAAATTAACGTTATTCCTCGTTCTAAAGGTAAAAAAGTTTACGCGTGACTTATTTGAGTTATTTTCTGATTTTTGTATATATTGTATTGTAGAATTGCCGAAGACTGCAGTACGTCTCGAAAGTGGCGTCATGACCCTCATATGATACAGCAGGCCCACGATAAAGAGGTCTTTGCGGTCAAGGGTGGGTTATTAAACAAAGGTTATCTGTATTCGCTGATTACTTTTACCGAGAACAACATTTGTGTCATAGTTATTTACTTAATATTCACCAACTTTCAGAATAATTAATGTAGGAAGAAGCTATTGGAAGAAAAAATCGCTTAGGTTGAAATTTAATAGTATTTTGACGAATTAGTTATCCATTGTTGCTTAACTAATTGCTTCAGCACTTTTAACTCTTCATTTAACAAAGGAATTGTTATAACATCTGTGGAAATCCTTGGCTATGGTCAGGCACTAATGCCAAGGCTCTAATGTGCGTCTTCTTTTTATATGTTAATAATAAAATTAGTTCCTTATGTTGACGAAGACAGATTGGACGTCTTAAAACACGTTAAATGTTTAGGTATTTAGAATATAAATAATGGCTAGTAGACACAATTTATTAACATACATATGAAAATCTGTTCACGGTCACATACAGTAGGTAGGTACATAATTATTCTCTTTCATATTTTATTTTCGAAAAGAACTGTAACTGATTCTACAGATAAATATACTTAGAGTGAATAAATAATATATAACAATTTTGCAATTTATGTTTCAAGTACGGAGGACAATTATCGGATCAAGGCCTAATGATGACCGAACTTCAGTTTGTCGACTCGAAAACCTGCAGCAGGATGCATAACGTAACAATCACCCCTGACATGTTCTGCCTGTATGGGAAAGGTATCCGAGACACTTGCAAAGGAGACTCTGGCGGAGGGATTCTATGGAACAAGTATGATAACTGAAATTTTTTGATGATTTAATTCGAATAAAATTATCAATTACGATCATACATACATAAAAGATCCTAAGATTGTTTTCGCTTAAAAATTGTATTTAGGTAGCAAGCTGAAGTGGCAATGGGCACGACTGACGGCCGNGACGGAGGATGTGGTAGCAAGGTTCTGGAGTCAGGCTACGTAACGGAAAATGCAGTGTGGGACAAGGTGGACCGATACGACCTCATGAAGGTAGCTGAAAGGCACTAGATGCAAGCCGCTATCGACCGTGCGATGTGGAAATCACTGGGGGAGGCTTATGTTCAGCAGTGGTCCGGTGGCTGAAATGACGGATGAATCTGTTTTTTTTTCTAGCATGGTCGTTGGAATCACTTCTCATGGGGACGGTTGCGCTCGTGTCAACAAACCGAGCGTCTACGCCAACGTATTTTACTTCAGAAAATGGATCAGTGATCAAATCGAGAATTTCATGATTAGGTATTGTAATAGAACGACAAAAAAACCATAGACATTTTGTGTATTTTTTTTCATTACCGTTTCAGTGGTTTATCTTCGAACCTCCGGAATCTCGGTAAACGAAGTATTTTTCCACCAAACGCCGGCTATTCAGCATAATCCATCTGCGAATTGAAAAGTTTTTAGGAGTTATAAACTAATCAAAACTTTAATAAAATAAAATGAGACTTGAGATTGATTTCTTCGGAGCAGCAATCAAGATTCTTTTATTCAGAGCTCTTCTTTGCATACTAAGTGACTAACTTTATCATATTCTTTGAAAATATTAGTATAATTGGTTTAAATTATGTAGGTATTCGTACCTACTAGGTACGATACACATTTGTAGTATTTATTGCAGAATATCAAGTATCATCTTTAGAATAATAATTATTTTCAGATCCTTTTCTAGAATTATTTACACGATTGTAACAGAAGTTCAGGAATATGAGCGAATAATTAAACCAATTAAGTATTATTCGACAGCAAAGGGCAACGACCCTTTACCTTTGTTTACCTGTTGAAGTAAGAAGCGTTTGTGAACACAGCAATGTGTGGTTCTTCTATATTAGTGCCTCCAAAAGACAACATCCCAATCAACACATCCCTGTAAACAGCAGGCCCACCGTTGTCGCTCAATCTTCGATCCTAAAACATTTGGATTAAATTCTATTTTAGTTTTTGCAAAATCCAGTGGCGTATTTTCATAATGAGTCGATCGAATCGATTCTTTTTCATCTGCTGTGTTTAATTTCATGTAAAATAAGCGCTGACTGTAGGTTTTACGAGTTCGTTAAGTTGTAAAACAGCTGCTTCTGATAACTGTTTTTATTGGACATATTTTTACTTTTTCGTGCTATAGAAACTTTTGATACATCTGGAGAGGTCTCAAGATATCATTGCATTGACGAAAATAATTTTGTAAGTAATGTGTCTCAAAATAATATTTTAAAAATGTAGATTTTGTGAAATAGGGTTCTCTCTGTCATTTTGGCTTCGCCTTCATCTTCACCTGTAAGGGCTATATTTCACCGGGACACCATGGCGGCGCAACCAGTCGCCGCTACCAACAAAGGTGAGTGAGTAACTCTCTATAGAGCTGCATACATTTTGTTGGTAGCCGGCGACTGGTTGCGCCGCCATGGTGTCCCGGTGAAATATAGCCCTAACTGAAAGCATACGACATAGAAACACGAAAATAACGTTAGATGGCGCTATCAAATTTATGCTGAAATACCTAGGTACTCACTATTTGATATTTTGCACAAAAGTTTGATGCACTGATCAATCCACCGTAGTGCTTGACACATACGTTCGTATCTATGAGCACCATTTCAGACCACACCAGGTTATTTAGAAATCTTTGTGGTAAATTCTGAAAAAGAATAGAGCATGTTAAAAAAAGAAAACTGCACTAACTGCAAACGATGTAGAAAACAAATTTCTCTTTTTAAAAGGTAATTGTTAAGATATTTTAAGACCAATAAAATAAAATCTAATTCGAGGAAAACTGAGAATACCGTTCCATTGCACCATCTATTAGACTCCTGAAGTATTAGCTACNCCGGCTCGTGTACAGCGCTCATGTACAGCCTCACATTGAACGGAGTCTGGAATGGTTTTTGCATAACATTACTATAACACATTGTTTTGATTTAAAGTGAAAAATAGGCTAAGCCGCCTATTTAGTTCATACACACATAAATGATCTCATATTAATCACATTTACCAAATCATGAGGTAATTATTCATAATAACCGGCGATTATTCATAATTTTCACATTTACCGTAACATATAAATTATTACTAATTTTTATAAAATTTCGTTGTGTAGAAAANTTATCTCCTAGCTTCAGCAACAAACTTTTTAGCAAAGCGACTGAATGATGGCACCTTCTCGTAAGTAGACGAACGTGAAGTTAGAGTTAAACATAATAGATGGCGCTTAAATGGCAAGATAAGAGTGTCTGAAATTACTGAAAACTAGCTGAAAGTTTGTTAATGGATAGAAATTATTTATTTTACTTTTATTATTTTCATTTCTTACCGAATGCCCCCAGCCAGTCACCTCAATTGTGGTACCGACACGTAGAGCTACCTCCGGGTCAATTAGGCTAATCTTCTTAACGTCGTCACCAAATACCGCAACATCCTGATATTATATGAGCAGGTACAGTATACCATAGATATTTAAGTCAGTAATACCTACTTGTTGTATCTAAGGAAGTGATCAGAAAAAGTTTGATGGGGCGAAATATTTATTGTCGCTCTCACATGAACCTACTCGTTCGGCTTTGACTCTATAAAAAATATAGTTTTCCAACGATATGGAAAATATAAGGAAATGATAATAATGAGCTTGAACATGGCACATGACTAAATGCGAAGAACATTAGCAGAAACATAATGTAGCACAAACGGTTCAAAATACATAGGTATTTATTCCTTGTTTAAGAATACATATTTGGAGAGTTTCCAATTAGTAGAGAATGAATGGAGATATCTCGCTTCATATATCTGAGCGAAGCAACACAATTTGTTGGCTTCCGATGTTGAAATAAATTTTGAGGATTTATTATTGCGACATCTTACGCCCGTATTCACAAACATTATATGTACTATGAGGTCTCACAGTACGTGTGGACGCACAGGGTCACACGCGAACCAATCACAGAGCTCCACTCAACGCTATGCGTTCGATTTTCTGATTCACTTAAGCAAACACGTTTGTGAATACGGGCGTTAGTAACAAGAGAAATAAAGCTTTAATACATTTTCATGAAAAACACGAATCGTAACATGTTCGTGGTGTTATTTTCATCGAGTTCCGTTTGTAGGTATGTAAATAAGCGATATTTTATTAGTTAACTTCTTCCTCAATTTCTCTTTGCAAATAATTTTTTTCTTTACAAATTATACTGTGAGCAAATTCAACTTTTCAAAGCTAAAGGAGATATAAACTTTTGAAGATAATTAGTCAACTTTGTAACAATAGAATTCTGCTTTTAATAAGCTTATTATATTGTAATTAACACGTAGGAAAAAACTTATAATTATTACTCGATACAGTTATTGTATCTTATTTGTACAAACTGCTATAACTAAAACGCTGTTTTGTTTTTTTTTCTCTAAAGTGTAATTTGAAAGAGTTGGTAGTAGACTAGAGTGTTAGTATAGATCGTTTCATCCACGAAGACGCGCCCCACCAATTTTTGGTCGAGGGAAGCACGGGGTGCGGGGAGTTTGATCCGAGCAATCCGAGCGTCATCATTGTAGTGTGCGTGTGCAGTCATGGATGATTTAGCGTGTACCGATAACAGTCAAACATTAGCGGAATCATAGTGGGGTGCGTCTTTGTGGATGAAACGATCTATAGATAGCATTATACGTTCGTAACTTGCCTTCAATGCCAAAAGTGCAATGTCGTTATTTGCTGCGCTGTCGTGCTTATAGTATTCATGAATTTTTATTTCCTTCACTGGGATCACTTGGCTGAAAACAGCATTATGATATACGTTAACAGTTAATGTGTGATAAAATATTAAAATTGGTACCATCACCATAAAGAGCTGCGAGCAAATGATCAATGAAGATATTTTTGCCATGAAGCGTATTTAGTAGGATTTTAACGAATGGGAAGTAGAATCGGGGTTCAATTTCAGAAAGGTCATTACTTACTTTACACAACACTTTCTGTTATAGTTTTCAGTTTGGACATGTATCTACTCGTAAAGTATTACAGGCGTGAAACAACCTGATTTTTCAAAAATAAATGGGATACCTTGTTTTGGAAAGTAATGTCATACATCCATGGTGTATCATAAAGTTTCACACTTTGTTTGACCACTAATTTGTTGTAAACTTGCAACCCACACGGTAGAAAAAGATTGTATTAAAATTAAGAAAACCAATAATTATACAATGTACGCTACAAGACATTACCCCATTCCCGTCACGGTGCTGGCGCCAACTTTGACCACGGTATTTTGCCTAGACCTCTTATTGAAGCAGCTGGCCGTGGTAACCACTATCCGGCTGCGGATCAGACTCCCCGAGCAGAAGTAGGTGCCGTAGACTATCAGAGCATGGTGCGGGATGTCCTGTATTCTCGCTATGTGCTTGTGCAAGGCGGGTTTGCTGGGAGCGCGATAAGCATCCTCTCTAGGCATGTATCGGAAAGAGGATGCTGTTTGAGTCAGAACTGTGATGATGAGTAAGCTGAAAGAAAAACACATTTTCTTCTAAAAGACTATCAGAGCGTGGTGCGGGATGTCATGTATTCTCGCTATGTGCTTGTGCAAGGCGGGTTTGCTGGGAGCGCGATAAGCATCCTCTCTAGGTATGTATCGGAACGAGGATGATGTTTGAGTCAGAACTGTGATGATGAGTAAGCTGAAAGAAAAATTCATTTCTGCCACTTATTTTGTCTCCGTTAACGAATAATTATTCCGAATGAAGAAGCGCGCCGCGGCAAAATATTTTTTGCACTAGCTCGTAGTAATTAAGGGCGCTTAAGTACGAAAGGAAAGTAGAGCAGAGTTTGATATATTCATCGTAACGTTTGTTAATTTAAAACTCTAATGCACTGCATATAATAGGTACATAAAGGTACTAACACCATTATGAAAAATTTGCAAATATTTAACAACATTTCCCCTTCCGTAGATCATGTCATGAATTCCATTTGGATATTATAATACAATTTCAAGACACTGAGAGCTGTAAAAAGTATCCCATCAAACCCTCGACCCTTACAAGATGTTTGGGAGTGCTTACACTCGCCCGAGGGCTCTTACATCGGTCTCTTTCCGTGGTATCTTTTAAAAGCAGATCTGTTTTGATGGTTCAAAATTAAATACGAATTCGTACTAAAAGATGTAAGTTAAACAGAAAAAAATGTTTTACGCGTTTTTGTTCTTTACCAAAAGGTTATTAGAAACTTGCATTTACTAAGAACTGCATTGATACAACTTATAGAGAAGATTGCCGTGGTTTATGTCAGTTCATTCCAATAAATGTATTCACAAGCTGAACTAGCATTTTTCTATTAAACATTACCTATGCATTTAAATTGTGGTTTGTACTGATCAAAACTGACGATAAAGTTTGTCGATAAAATGCTCTAACACGAATATACTTACCTACGAGTACATCAATATTACCTAGGAGAGTACGATGTATGCGTACTCGTATGCAGTCAAACGACTTATTATTTACGTAAATTGATACTTTGACTTGTAAGTGTAAATTTAAAAAATCTACTCCAAAGTAAAACTGATCCGTCACTGCTGACAAAATGTTTCAGTCACGACTGAAACTCATAATTCGATCAAACACCGCTAAGAGGATTTAAAAAGCTAAAATCCATTGATGTCATGAATGCGGTTTTCATATGAAAATGAAATTCCAATACTTACACATTCATTGCTTTTCAATGCGGTTTTAATAGCGAACTGTCCTTCAGGTTATTTGTGCATAATAAGGAAATATATTCGAGAGGCTCGCTTGTTAGCGGGACCGCGGCGTAATAAACTCGAGACTCGAGACTATAAAACAAAGAGTCCCCTATCAAAGCGATAAAGGGTTTTGTATTTGTGAGTACAATTCGCAATCACTCCGCGTCCGCGTCGTACCTACAGCTACCGACTCCGCGCTTCGACAATTTTTTATTGTTTATGAAATGTTTCGTTGTAATTTGATGGAACGTGACCGTGTTGTGATGGTTTTATGGAGCTGGTAGGTAAGTGTGTTTTAATTTAAACTTAAGTTTTAGGATTTTTAATTGGTTTTTGAAACTTATCATGAGTATACTCTCTATACAATGTAGAGTACCTACAGTCGAATTTTTGTTTTCAAAATAACCTACATAAGATATCCTAGTGTTTAGCCTGCTGTGCCGTCATCACACACGACCATAAAAATACTCTATGCACAAGCGAAAGACAGTGTCTGGATGGAGAAAGTGACAACGTGAAAACGTTTTCTTGGAAAAGGGGTAATGCTGGATCACTACAAAATTTGGGCAAGGAGTATTTTTGTATTATCTTGTGTAAAATGACAAAAAGGTAGTATTTCTACGTATATCGACATCCAACGTGAAATGAAAAAAAACAGTTCTAGTTGATTGTGTTCCGATCCGTTTTACACAACATGCAGGTGTGAAAAGGTGCCGTTAATATTTGTGTCACGTCACGCATCGAATGGGGGGGTTTCACTTTGCCGTCCCATACCGATTTGCATTTTAGACCTGATGGCTGAAGAGGCCCGTTGCTTCGTTTTGCTTCGCTTCAATCTAGATGGACGCTTTGCATTTAAAAGGGAGAATCGAAACTGTCGCATTAAAAATACGGTGGAAAGTCTTTACGAAACCTACTTACTACATAGAATTTTATTGCATTGATATTTTATTTGTACGATTACTTAAATTATTTTTAGCCATGCAGTTCCCTAATGTGTTTAATTAATTAATATGATTGATGGGATGTAGATACCTAGGTAGGTAAATCATAAAAGAACCGTACTTTACATTTAGTATTAGAAACAAAATAAACAGACCTATGGCATAGTACTCGTATCCTGTGTAATTTTATATTTCTCGCTTTTTAAAAGTTGGCACGAACGGTAAGCAATAAATTATAATACGATTTTGCTTGTTTACCAAGCTTCAATATTTCTGTTAGATTAGAAAACAAATTCAAGCCGGCTCCATTACAGATATTTGAAATTGAATTTGTTTACATCAAAATATCTTAACATCTGAAATCTATAGACGGAATAATTAAAAAAGTTATGAAACATGGCCGACTGTCTGCTCGGCCATTTCGGTGGAAAACCAATAATAATAAAGATTTGCAATATATTTCTGAATATATTTGAATAGAATTTATGAAAGCTATACTTTTAATACAATAATTTAATTCGTAGCTCAACATGTAAAATTATACTTACAGGAGGTGTGATTCAGCCATAAAAGTAAAACGAAAACTATAGACAATGTTACATTAGATTTCGATTCGAGGTAGAATCTAGCTAGACAAGATTTGTTACAAATGACTTGGATGAAGAATTGACTTTCTTGCAACCTACTTACATGTGTCTTATTTGCCTAATATAGGTGAGAATTCTACAGATATCAGTAAATACATATGTGTATAAATTATAACAACTTAGATTTTTTAAATTGCTAGCTACTCCTAATAACTTATCATAAATCATAATTTTACAAGTTGATTTTGACCCACTTCGCCGAGTTAATTGAGTTGGAATACTATGTAAGGCGGATGACATGGCAATATTATGGTGTCTAGAGCTGGTATGATTTATGAAGGAGCCTGAAGGAGGCTTATTTTTAAATTATTATTTTATTAAAACTTGTTGACTTCACCTTCTGTAATTAACACTGCCAAAACCTGAGCTAGCCTAATGCGGAATAATAGACGTACATTATTAAAATTATGTTTTATGGCATGTTCAAATGTAAGGTATTTTCAAACAAAAATGTATAGATTATACAAATCACAATCTACCTCTACCTAGACCTACACCCCGAAAAAAGTTGTGGAGGCCAAGTGTCAGTTCGTTATATTTAAGTTTTAAAAGAATAACTTTAAGTAATCAAACATAAAACAATCAACAATTTGAAACGAAATTGATTTGTTGAACTTTACTCCGGTAAATTAAAATAAAGAGCAAGAGGATTCGAATTGCCAATAAACGTGGAAATTAAAAATTGAAGTCCATTCCCGAAGTTCGTGCGAACTTTTTGAGAGGTCATAAATTTCCATCCCTTAGCTGGTGGAGCGAATGAAAGGAGGGAACGGAGTCATGCTTATCTGTGTTTGCTGAAGCGTAGCACCCTAGAACGTTGGTATACATACATAGAATATAGTAAAATAAGGGCACTTCACTTTTAGCGCGACAAATTGTGATTACTGTGTCTCTCTCGATCCAGAAATCCTGGGATTGATTTCCGGGTAGGGCACGCAAATTGCATCATAATTTTCACCATGTAATTGCGTTAGGGTATATATTTAAATATTAGATAAGTATCGCAATAACGTCGATCGTTTACGGTAAGTATTTCATATCTTTATACTTTGACTAGGGTCATGCCTTCAGCTAATACACCACACAAACCCGAAATAAAACTTTTATTTGCAAGTTTCATGATAATAAATAAATTGCCTTATGCAAATGACTACAAACTGTGTAAATTACACGCCATTATGCCAAGTTGCCACGTGTAAGGTGAGCCTGTAAGCCTATTCACAGACACGCGCGCCACCGGGGACGGACAGTGTACCTTACAAACAACGTTATGTACGAGTATCTCCACATCAAAATATTTACTTCGCAAAATTATAAGCGGTCTTCTTTATTCTTATTGTAGACGGCAAGGATCAGTACTTTACCTAGGTCTATAGGTATTGTTCTGTAGCAATGTCTAGGTATTGAGAAACTATTGTAGGATTACCTCTCAAGTTGAAAATGGCAGTTCTTTTGTGCCTGCCACTTGTCGAATAGAAGAAAATTGAATCGAAAAAAAAAAGTAACTGTGTGTTTATGTCTACATAGTATCTCTGTTTGGTTGTCTAATACGTTTTTCTGCCTACAACTCTTAAATCAGCTTTGATATTTTGATATTAGAGAATCCCATAAGCTGCTAAAAACTTTATAATCTATACTAATATTATAAATGCGAAAGTAACTCAGCCTGTCTGTCTCTCTTTCACGGCTAAACCACTGAACCGATTTTGATTAAATTTGGCATAGAGATAGTTTGAGTCCCGGGAAAGGATATAGGATAGTTTTTATCCCGGTTTTTAATAAAGTTTTTCTGTGACAGACAAAATTCCACGCGGGCGAAGCCGCGGGCGGAAAGCTAGTATTTCAATAAAATGCCTAACATTAGTAATGTCATGGCAACAAGTGTATATGTAATTTATATGTAAAAGAAGGTTGCTAATTGTAACGCCTAACGACAGTTTGGTTTATTTTGGAGAGCGCAGAGTGACAGAGGGTCGCGGTACTCGACGCGTCTCATCGGCCGCGAGTACTGATTAATAAGTTCACTTTGTTACATATCTCAACTTTCGGGTATTCGGGTTCGCACTCAGAAAGGGATCGCTAGGGAATTGAATCCCTGATTTAAATCAATTCATAGTAACGGACCCGTAATTAAAGCTATACCGTTAATTCACTTTATAGCCTTATTGAGTTATTTTACGACTCTTGTTTCCACTAATGTTCAAACACCTACAATTTTACTGCTTATTCAATACAATAAAAGCGATTAATTAAAAGATAATCCCAATGGAATAACACGACCTTCGCGACTAACGACACAAAAGAATAATAGGGCATTGGCATGTGCATTGTGAATAGCTTTTTAATTAATTACATCAATGAGTATGTGACACGCGAAGCTCTAATGAACATGGTTTTTATCGTTCATTATTAAGGTTAGTGTATAGTTAGGCTGAGTTGCACCACCCAACTTTAACGGCAACTTTAACGATAACCGGTGTTTTTGTATGGATTTTGACAGATTTTTTACGTTTGTTAAAGTTAAAGTGAGATGGTGCAACCCAGCCTTAATGTTAATCAAAACAAATAACAATCGATGTTACATTGACAGGCTTTGTGTTGAAGACAGACAACAAAACGTATAATTTTATAAATTCAATTTACTGTGCCAAACATACGAAGTAAAATAGCGAGAGTAATGAAATTTCCTTCATTAAAATGTATCAACATTCCGTCTGTATATCTACCGATAAATCGTGGTGGGTAACATGCGCCAACCTTCCCACAATTCCGTCGGGCAGTCACAGACTTACGCCAAAGTAATAAATCACAGTAACCTAGAATGCCTTGCTGTTCTAGATACGCTGTGGCCGCAATGCTTCTAGAATCCAAGCTGCCTTGTAGCTTGCCGAGTTTGTGCAGACGACGGCACATCGAAGTAAACTCTGTGGCATCTTACGTGGTTTTGATAGGGGTCATTTTGCAACCAAGATTTAGTCGAATGTGTTGTCGACTGTATTTGTTTTAACTGAAACAAATGAAGAACCAGATAGGTATGCAAGCAGCGTGTACTCGTAGTAGAAGAAGTTCTTAATATGCCGAAATAGTTTAGAATTTCGGCCAGCCCAACGGGTAGAGTTGGTCAAGGAAGGAAGGTCTTGCATTAACCGTATCTTATAAGCTTTATTTCTTTCGGTTTTCAAAAAAATCTTTGTTTTTTTAGGGAGGTAAGTAATCAGTTAAAATGAAAATTCATAACCATGCACAGACAGTGAGTAACAAAATTGCACGGTAAATAAAAAATAAATAGACCTCCAAAAGAAACTCGCGAGCGCCTTACCGGCGTTAGCGTCTATTTCCATTCTCTCGTACTTCCACTCTTTTTGTACACCTGTTTCCTCAATCTTTCTGAGGCGCCATTAAGTAAATTATGCCCTCATTTGCAAAATTACGATTGTGTTAAAGTATAAATGGCGCTCCTTTGACGAGCGTGCGCGCCTCTGGGTTACTTTAAATTAATAATCATGTCTTCTTTATAGCGTATTGCTTCAAATTCTAATTATTATATAATGAGAGTTCTAGAGTGAAATTTTGAATGTGTGTACAATATAAAACGTATTTGAACTTGTATAAATAATTACTATAGGTACGTCCATTTTCACTTTTACGCCGAGTGGGATTCGAATTGTTGCAACTACCGGTACATGAACGACCAAGCCGAGTAGAGTAGACAGGATTCTAAAATTTTTCTGATAAATTTTACCATGCCTTTTAATTCATCACTTTCTCTGTAATGAGAAGCAGCTTACAATAATTTATGAACTCGAGAGACCCTCTAATACTCTCCGATAGCTTTGAGAATCGTAAAACATAACTGCCACGATTACGAAACAAGTCATCAATCAAAACAGATAGCAATAGTCGAGTCAAATAAATTCGAAACTAAAACATTTCCGATTACCCCCGTTTCTGACCCGCCCACGTTTGGCGTGTAAACATGTTGGCGAATGCTATTTTGCGTGGCCATCAATAAAATTACAGCTGCGACATGTGTCAATCTTGCCCTTAGGACGGTTACACATTTGCGTTTTTGTTTCCCATAAATATGCCCGATTTTCCATGGGCGTGCAAGTGCGTGTATTGCCAAGGTTACGCGTTACATCAGATCAGAATCCCTGTAATGCTGTTACGCAATTTCTCTAGCTGCTTATTCAGTTTTTCTTCTAGACTTTAACCTATTAATGCTCGCTAGAGCCAATCTGTGTTGGGCATGCATTTAACTTTGCTTTCAACTTTGCTTATTTTTATGTGTCAAAATAATAATCTCTTCTATTTCTAGATGTCGATCCAAAGTACGAAACTAAGTGTTATCGCATTCCTTAGATTCGGATCGGATAGAGTGTTTAATCGCTAATAGCTAAAATTTCGTGCAAACGTGAAACGTACGTGTTTACACTCGTAATCGCTTTATTAAATCTCGAAATATTCACACCAAAACGAGCGTAAAACGCGTTGAAAAAACTCAAGCCTATAACCGTCCTAACCCCGTCCGTACATTTTTACATATTATTATTGCTTAGGGATTTGCGTAGTCCTATTTTGCACATTGAATATACATTCAATATTCAAATTAAAGTTGCTTGTAGCGGGCCACCGCAGCTAAGCGCGCCAATTTGATACAACTTTGAGCTCGTAGACAAGTGGTAAGATGGGTATGGGAAACTTGCTGACATTTCCTTTAGTCTTATTTTGTAAAATGACTAAAAATTTGAATATTATTAAGTCATATAATTGTTACTAAAATAGAAACATTCGTTATTCGTTACTAGCGTTACCTTGACATCTAATGTTTTATGCAAAGTCAAGCGGGTTATAGTTTACAACTTTTCTCCTTGACCTTCCAATACAAATTTCATAGCAAACAAACAAAAAGGTCGATCGTTACTTCCATGTTATTGTCAAATACTTTGTTTACATAATGTAGGACGAAGGTCCGAGCGGGTGTCGTAGGCACCGTAGCACGCGACGTAGCGGCAGTCACGCTACGGCGCTCGAGGGTGACGGACGAGTACGCTACGCCGTAGCGCCGCCCGGTCGTGATGTTGTGCTCTGTAGCGCTTTTAGCGATCGCGCTTTGCGCTTCTGCCCAAGGACGTGCGGTAAGAATAACTTTACAATCCCAACTACCCAACTAATATTATAAATGCGAAAGTAACTCTGTCTGTCTGTCTGTCTGTCTGTCTGTCTGTCTGTCTGTCTGTCTGTCTGTCTGTCTGTTACGCTTTCCCGCTTAAACCTCGCAACCGATTTTGATGAAATTTGGCATAGAGATAGTTTGAGTCCCGGGAAAGAACATAGGATAGTTTTTATCCCGGTTTTTGAAACAGGGACGCGCGCGATAAAGTTTTTCTGTGACAGACAAAATTCCACGCGGGCGAAGCCGCGGGCGGAAAGCTAGTACTTAATATTCCCAAAATAAACTCTACGGTAATTTCTAAGTTTAGTAAAGTTTTGCAGTCGAGTGGACTCGAGTGGCTTTCAACTCCGAGACTTACACTCATACGACTATGTGAGACGTAGTTTTCTACTTTTAAATGTTTTGTGCCGATAAAACTGTTTCACTATTTAGGTTTTAGATTTACTTGGCAAAATTCTACTCATTTTGCGGTTGAACTTTCCAACAAGTAACCTTGAAGATGCGAGTAAAGTTTGAGGACGTTCAAAACTTAACTTTGTTACTCAGACATTAAATATGAGAATACTGTATTTAAGGAAACTCCGGATTATTATTTAATAACTTTGTTATTGATTTTAAAACTTTGTAATTGATTTGAAGCAAAAGGGTCTCTGGATAACGTGAAAAAGTTACAAATGCTTTGTTTCAGTACATTTAGATTGTAATAAAGTCAAACGATTTTATTAAATGCTGAATTATTTAAATTTAAATGATATAAAATTAGTAAATCAGTAAAGTTTTGCTTTGAAAAAATTAATGATGCCTAAGTCTGAAATAACTTATGTTAACAAACTGTGTAAAACGTTCAAATTAGGCGTTATAGATAATTCTAAAAGAATAATTAACATAAACATTTACAAAAATATAAGCTTGACATAATTTTGTCATAATGTTTTTAAATACTGTTAAATTTAAAAACTGTTAGATACATTTTATTGCAATTTTCTTAATTCAGGTGGAATTCTTAAGACAACTAGCTATTTTAATAATATAACTTTAAAAACAAACTAAGATTGGGCTTCTGACACAATAACTTGTCTGATACTTAAAATTCAAATTCAAAAACGTTTATTGCATGTCACATTACAATTTATAATATGTTGTTGCAAAATAGAGGTATACATGAAAGAAGACTAGCTGTTGGGCCTGTACTATTAGGTATAGCACATTATATTCGTATAGTAAGTAAATTAGGCTAGGACTAGGATTAGGTTAAATCAATACATTCAAATTGAAACTAAAGGAGTAACTATATACGTATCCTCTGGTTTGAAACAGTCACTTAATACCTTTAAATAGTTATATTTCAAAGGAGATTGGAGAACAATTATTACATTATTGGGCGGGCGGCTCATTCCGCCTCTCGTAGTGGCACATATGCCTAATTATATTTCGAAGCAACATAACCTCCTAAGCACCATCTAAACTACTAACTACCGAACACAACTTAAGATACCCTCAACTAGACATCAACCCAAAATCGATTACACTCAACTCAGCATTAAGTCCATTTTGCAATGATAGAGCTTAAGCCAACATGTCCCCAAATGTATGAGATAATAACGTTTAAAATTGCGATCGTAATTGCTTTTGTGATTCATATTTAATATTAAACTGAATGCTCAATGAGAGTTTTAAGGGTTAATGGCAAACAAATTATTTCGGCGATTCAAAAATATGCGGGGTTTTAATACGTTATTCATAGACCTTTTTAATATTGTAGGTATTGATATTACATTGAGTCGATTGATTTTAAACGTCACGTCTGTATTACAATTACCATAAGAAATTCATGCTGTGATCGTGTGTGGATAGGATAACATGAGATACCATTTCGAACATTTATTTTGGTGTACACAAGCATCTCATTTCTTCAGAAAAAATGGAGCCAGCTAATATCACTTATCACTCCAGCCTAATCTTTCTAATTTCATGAAGTCTTCGGGTGACTTGATAATACATACAACGTTAGGGTTACATAAATAAAAAAAGCATTTTTGTGACAGTTACACCAACACAAAACTATTCAGAATGCATAGGTATCACTGCGACGTATGCAGTCTAACTCCACACAAAGGATCCGTATCGCATACAAATAAAATATGAAATAGAGATGTCGAAACCAATATTTTATTTCGCGACGCTATTATTTTAGTTGCCGAGCAGTTGTCGCGATGAAATGCGGTCGCTAAAACTAAGGCTGGGTTTCACCATCTTACTTTAACTTTGACAAACGTCAAAAATCTGTCAAATTCCATACAAAAAACAACGGTTATCGTCATAGTTACGGTCAAAGTTAGGTGGTGCAACTCAGCCTAAATAACGATTGGGTTCGTTACTTTTGACTGAACATAAAATAGGAAAATATTTTTAACAGGCTCGCAGATTACAATTTATTTAAAATGAATTGGATCGCTGAGTGTCAAATGCACCCTGGGGTGCTGAATCGTTTCAATAAATTAAATATTTCAGAATTAGTTTTGACTATTTTATTTTAGTGAGTGACAAATGGTTTAAACGGAGTCCACCATTCGTCAAAGGCTGAACGAATAAGTACATTACTCCTAAAAATAAATTGAAAGTAATAGAAAAGATATCATCTGAAACTGGCCCGCGCGGGTTTTCTATACATTTTTTTGAAAGAAAGAAAATATTTTTATTTAGTCCAAACATCTATAGACTACTTTTCTTAAGATAAAAGAATAATTAGGCACCAATGCGCATAAAGATGGATTAAATACATTTTCTATCAACAAAACGCTTCTTGAATTAGCTTAGAAATGTTATGACTTACAAATAACTATAACTAACTTAGTTTATCGTCACATGTTTCTCAACTAAATCAAGATACCATATTATGTTTTACTACCTTGGACACCCACCTAACTCTACCACCCAAACTTCAACAAGTCAGTAGTTCGTTACAGCATTTAGCCGGAGTCGGTACATACTCCTGGCTACACAAGAGTTGCAATGGTGGGAACGAGAGGTGGGAATAGTCCCGAAATGTTTAACCTTTATAATGATTTACTTTTATAAACTTTGAGCTGCTTTCCTTTTATGAAACCTTAATAAGATTCCACCTACGTGCATATAGAGCTACTTAGAAGGCAATAAAAAAAAACCGACTCCAAAAAACATACACTAAAAAGTAGAAAAATAATTACTAATCTTATTTATTAGGACGAATTAATATTTATGTATACCATGATTGATACTTCTGGAGTTGGTGCCAAGATTATGAAACGTGTGAAGTTTGCCTGCACCGACTCCAAAAGTATCAATCATAGTATACATAAATATTAAGTCGTCCTAATAAATAAGATTAGTAATTATTTTTCTACTTTTTAGTGTATGTTTTTTGGAGTCGGTTTTTTTTTTATAAAAATTAACTTATTTCTTGCTTTTTAGTTACTTATTATTACCTTGATGTTACCACTGAATGTAGGCCGTACATTGAGACTATATTCTTCATGTCAAGTGTAAAATAATAAACCTTAAAAACATGAAAGAATACAACTGTTGGTCTATTTGTACCTATAATATTTAAAGAATTATCTTCCAACTCCTAAGCGTTAAGGTGTTGTACGTACCATGACCAGTTCATCATGATGAGATGATGACTATCTGATGCAAACACTTGAATAACTTTAGAAACTATACTTATGTATAAAATTAAAAGAATCATCCTCCAACTCCTAAGCATTAAGGAGTTTTACTTCTATCATCAGCTCATCAATATGAGATGATGATTTTCAGAAGCAAATACCTGAATAACTTAAGAAAACGTTTGCAAAACAATATACGTGCCTATAAAATTTGAGGGTTGCCCTCGATTTCACTAGGATCCCATCATCAGATCCTGACTTGGTGACAATGGGACCACCTCAGAAGTGTACCCTATCGAACAATAAAAGAATTTTGAAAATCGGTCCACAATTGACGGAGTAATCGGTGAACATACATAGAAAAAAAACATACATACCTACAGTCGAACATATAACCTCCTCCTTTTTTGAGTCGGTTAAAAATAAAGAGAACACTTAATATTCTACTAAAAATAGTAACTTACATTGAGGTCATCCCGCTATCCTGCCAGATCGAAGTCAATTTAGAAAATTAGATTTTTAAATTGAGCCCTATAGTTACAAAACGAAATAGTGTAATATTCAACAATTTTGTAACGGAATCTGTACCTACTATATATGTATTTAGGTCCTTATTGTAATTGATTGTTTGGTACAAGACAAACGAGAGGCTGTCGAATAGGCCCGATAATTAAGTCTTCGTCACAGTTGTCTTTCCCGTTGCGTAAACGAACGAACAATGAATATTAATTTGTTCCAAAGTATCTCATCATAATATTAATAATATATTTTATGTTTGTTTAAAAATTTAATTGCCCAAATTATTGTAACAACATGTGAACTTAAAGTTTCAATCACTTTTAACAACCAAACTACGTTTACCGAACCTGATATTAATATTTTTATAAAACGAATATTAATCTGGTTAAGTACTTTTGTTTAAGAGCTACTTAATTTTCCGGAGATCCCAGTTAACTGTGAAATTTTATGAACCAAATAAATTATTTTTTTCTTTCTTTCTATACTAGAGTATGAATTATTTTAATTAAGTGAACCGAATAAAAATCTTATAAAAACTACACATTAAATGGATATGAGTTTATGCTAGTCGTATAACACTTGAAATGTTAGTTAGCAAGATATAGAACAAATATTTGACAGGCGAAAGTTGGGCCAATTTCAACTTTTATTAAAGTTTCAGCCAGCGGCCAAACTCATTAGAGCACGGTGGTGGCGCTAGCGCATTCCTGTAGTGCTTGCTAGCCGCAAAGTAGTGTTGTACGCCGATACAAATAAATTACACGTCGATATTAGAGAGAATATTTGGATATACAAGAAGCTCAAGCTTTCTTAGGATTGTACAGTCACGGAATGAAAAGGTTCGTCAGTTTTCAAATTGATTCCTTCAACGAATCGCGAGCACATATTACCTTTTGAAAGTATGTTACAGAATAATCTCGAGTTAGAGAAAATAATCTTTAACTGTTCGCCAGTAAAGTTCAAAATTATTCAGATCAAAGTTGTTTGACGATTTAACTTGTCAAGAAGATTATTATGATTGATAAACTAAAACCTTCTTGTTGGTTCAACCTAAACTACATTTTGTAACATTGCACTGATGGGATAGAAAAATAAACAAGCAAAACCTTATTCGTTAGCAAACGTTAAACGTCATATTTATTTAAATGTTAGCAGCACTGTTTCTTGCACGGTTATGTTGGCAGGTTTGACTCTTACAGTACCTAGTGCAAGCGAAAACCGACACTAAGGTGACGAACCTTTTCATTCCGCGACTGTACTATAAATCCAACAGTTATATCAACTTCGTAAGTTAATAGGCTGTTGCTCTTATTAGGCTGGGTTGCACCATCTAAATGTAACTTTAACAAACGTCAAAAATCTGTTAAACTTCATATAAAAACACCTGTTATCGTTATAGTTACAGTTAAAGTAAGGTAGTGCGTCTCAGCCTTAGAGTTTTTTAAAATAGCTATTATTTACAGAGTCCGTTGACGCTTTAGGACCTATTGCATGTGAGAAATACACAGAAAATGATCGCAATTTTTAATAATGTCTGAATTCAGGGAAATTAATTTCAGGGAGTTTTCAAACTACAAATAAAAAACTATCACGAGAAATATTTATCATGGTTGAGACGTATTACAGTTGGTCGATACTCAAACTCAATACGATCGGGCTACACTATTCCGAAATTGCTCCGAGAACCCTTCCATAAGCCATAGATATAAAGTTGAAATTTAAGAGAACATTCTTAACCACCAGTACAAATTGACCAGACGATACTTTGGCGAGTTTATGCATGAAATTTTAGACGAGCGAGCTCAAAGTCTGCCGACTTTTAAAACTACTCTGGGCAAAAACTTTCTCCTCAGGCGAAGTTCTGTTACTTCGTCGTCTTTTCGTATTGATAAACAGCCAAGATGAAGACAAAACACAAACTTTCTTGTTTCATTATTCAGATCAGTTGGTTCAATATGATTCAGTAGGTAAAGAATTTCCATTATGTTAAGGTTCGTTAAATAGATCACGTGTATCTCTATCGAGATGAGGCGATGTTAATGTTCTTAGATAAGAAAACTCAAGTGCCTATGAAACTGAATGAGTAATAAGATAAAGGAAAATGAAAATATCAAGGGCAAATTAATTAAAATAATTCACCGTCTTATCTATACTATGGAAGATACTTTTTGTATGGTTTAAATCGATTGTGTGGTTGTATTGGACACATAGACCGCAACGTTTTATACGTGCATATGGGCCGAATAAAAGTAACCACAGTTAAAAGAAAGAAAAGACTGAAAATACCTACTGTGAAAAGGATTCGATTGACTGACCTCGAGGCATTTATAAAAAAAGTATTATAAAAGTAAGTATTGAGTCTTTTATTCAACGCTATCAAGTGACGACAACAACAGACACTTGGAACAGTGATGTAACTTAATTTATAAAATGAGGGTAAAGAAAAGATGATATTCTTTTGAGAAACTTTTCAGCAGTTTACGTTGCTAGAGTTATTAAAGACTTTGAAATAGAATACCTTGAGCGTACTTCATGGACGTTAAGTGCAGCTAAGTGTGCGTAATGACTCCATTCGCCAAGGAAGCTTTTGATGCCGAGAAATGTATTTGCTTTTGTAAAACATTCACCTAAAGCTCTTTGTTCGGGCTTATGCTATTATTTTGTAATAATTAACAATTTAATTATTCTTATACGAAGGTTGGGTGCGTGTTTGGATTTATGTAAAGATAACAAAGTGGACTAAATGAAAACAATTCAGACAAATATTATCATTACTTTAAACATTTGTTAGCAACTTCTATTAGTTCCATTAACAAGTCACATATAATTACAGAGAGTGTATGTAAATACCTATTCTTAGAAATAAAGTAAATCGATTTGACACGATTTGATTTGGAATCTCTCGATTGCTTGATTGGACATACTCGTACAAAGATTAAATAGTACTTTGTGAAAGTGGTGGAACGACAAATAACCAAGAAACTAGTTTGATTCGCACTATCGCAAGCTTAGGTCAACTCGAAAATAAAGATCAGTGCTTCTGAGATCATTTTGAACTAATGGTCCCATTGAACCATTATAGAGGCATAATAAAGTCGTAAATTATGACATAAAGGTCCCCATTTATTACAGCCGCCCGAAAATTGGAGAAGCAGGCTTACTATGTATTACAACCTGCCGAGATGTAGGTGGTAGGTACAGAGACGACGATGGCACGTCAGCTAAACAATGTGGTATCTTAAGTATTTGAAATAAGCGCTATTTTGCTGCACAAATGTAGTCTGATGTGCTGTCGACAGTTCGTTCGTTCGTTTCAGCCAAATGACGTCCACTGCTGGACAAAGGCCTCCCCCAAGGATTTCCACAACGACCGTCTTTTGCCGCTCGCATTCAGGCACCTTCTTCGACCTTCACCAGATCGTCGGTCCACCTAGTGGGGGGTCTGCCCACACTACGTCTTCCGACCCATGGTCGCCACTCGAGAACTTTTCAGCCCCATCAGCCATCAGCTCTGTCGACAGTAAGAAAATATATTTGTTTTATTTCTCTCTTTCTCCAAGTCTCTCTTTCGTCTGTGCAGGTAAACATCAGCAACACATGGGTGCTGCCTGAGGAGGGCTTCCCTGTGTTCTACCGCTACTTCAGGGACCGCATCTCTTGGTACGAGGCTGACGCCGTCTGCCAGTTCCACCATGCAAACCTCGTCACAGGTAAGGGCTTAGAAACTCCTGGAAATATGAGGTTTGAAACTTGATAGGATTAATTTGTAGCTACCTAATATTCCGTACTTTCTTAAGAAAGTTTCAGAGAAGTTTCAAACTCAGACGTAGTTAAAAGTTTGCCTTTGGTGTAAATATTTAACCAATTAATTACTTTAAATTTTTTAAATTACCTACTTATGTGTCTTCTTTCAATATTACTTCATCTCCATTGCCTCAATTAACATCTTTTCCATGAAATAACATGAGTTAAATAAATTAATCCCGTTTCAAATGAAGTGAAAATGCTCAATTATTGTTACGGCACCTTTAGCGGAATTAATTCCACTCACAGAAGAAACTTCTTGTCGGGCTTCCCAACATTTCATGTTACGAGCTTATGAGGCTGCGGCGGGAAGTTTTAATACTAAAGTTGCGGCTGCGTTTTGTTGCTTTCATCTCGATAACGCGATCTTTGCTGGTTTCGTCTGGGTTTAAGTTTAGTAAATCTGCTCTTGTATGATATTACTTCGCAGAATTTGATCCTTTGGAGTAACAATGTATGGCTAGTGATATTATAAATACAATAGGTTGTGAGGAATACATCCTCACATGTATGGGTGTATGTTTCTTCTTTCACTTTCTTTCAGGCAAAAACTAATGAACGGATTATAATGAAACTTTATGGTGTACCTGTTATAATTATCTGTGACAAACTGAATTTCAAGCCGCGAGCAAAAGCTAGTTGAGTAATATTTTTACATGATTTCAATGTCTCATTATTTTTTTTTGTTATTACATAAGTATGCATCTAAATTAACAGAATCTCAAACTCCGTATCGTGACGCATTGAAAAATGAATTAAGATAGTCGGTATCCTAAAATGGGATCCGAAATTCTGTATTCATTCTGAATACAGATGATCTTCTGTTTCGAAGAGCGTAAGCTTAAATTACTCGTAAATACGTTGTAGCGCGGTCTGGGTCCATTTCTTTGAATTCATTTAGTTTTAGTAGTAGTGCGTTGAACTGTTTATGTTCTCATTAAGTTCGTCTAATCGACCGCTCGAACTGCATCCAAGGGGTAAATAAATAGAGTGAGAATATTTCAGACACAAGTTTTTGTAGAAGTTTATCTTTTCAATATGTATGAATGAACAATTTAAAAAAAACATTTTAATAACAAAAGGATATAATAAAATAGCTGTTGTAAGAACAAGAAATTTACACTTTCTTCTTAGCAATAAAACTTACCCATGTCATGTAAGTTTTATCGTTTAAGTATTGGGTTGGATTTGGGATAAAATGGAAACGGCCCTAACTTCCGCGAATAACAACTCGACTATAAAACTGGGATGGACTATAACCGCAAACTTATTAATATTTTCCGGAACCCGACTTGAAATACGAGTCGCATATTTACATTTTCTTATCGGCAGGTACATTTATTCATGATAGGGTGTTTCGGGGTCAAGTACCCCATCAGGGGTAATGGGGGTCGTGGCTGGTTCGTCGTCGATTACGCAAAACGGCCGGGACGTGAAATACTGTACCACAACTACCACTATGCGTGGGACAATGGTTGCTTAGGCCTGATGACAGACTTAGATAATATGCCGCTGCGTCTCAGTAAAAAGATTTTTCATTCAACGACCACACCAGTAGCTAGCCCCGAATTAGAACTTGTATGATATGATAAATATTTGTGCTCAAATCATGGATGTTTAATTGGTCCCATGCGGGAATTGAACCACCATTACTTATTTACAGTCTCGTATATTAATTTGATTATGTACATAATCCAAAAGTTAAATAAATATTTTGTAGGGTTTTTAAAAGAAAACAATTCGTGCAGATTAATCTGAAAATTTAAATCACAAATGGTAATAAATTTCACTCGCCCCGGTTTCCACTGAAGAGTAGATATTACTTGCACCATCGCTTGAAAAGTTATTATCTTGTTTTAAGACGAAAAATAATCACGGCCCCGTTTTGGGTAACTAAGTTCGGAAGCCATTTAAACTTTGTGGACAGTGTTCCCGTTGCAAAGAATTGTTTTAATAATAAATAAACTTTTAAGTGAAATGGGACACCGTTTTGCCGTATTATGGGTCAACGTAGAGTTCTATAGAGACGAGTTCATCCGGCCATGATCCGGGTTTTCTTTTTTTTTTATAACTTTCCTTTTTTACCCAAATCTAATTTTATACTGAAACTCTGCAAAAGTATTTATAAAACGTTTGTACCTCTGTATAGTATAGAACAAAGTCACTCTGTCTGTCTGTATACGTTAAAAACTACGTTCAATCTTTAAAACGACGTAACGTATAATAATGCGGTTTTCATCAAACAGATAGGATTGAGTCTTGTATATATCGTATCGTATTTTAGAGGAAGGTTTAGATAAAAATTACACACATGCAAACCCGGGGTGAACCGCTAGTCATTTATAATCCTTTAGTCTTGTATGTATCGTATTTTAGAGGAAGGTTTAGATAAAATTACATACATGCAAACCCGGGGTGAACCGCTAGTCATTTATAATCCACGTTCTAAGAATTAGTCACGCTATATCGCACAGTATTAAATCCTCATACAATAGTCTAATCTCCTTCAAATATCTGTAGTTATTGTAACCAAAACAGCCTGTGCCTTTGTCGAAGTGTAAATTTATTACGCTCTTAGGATATACTATGTTTACCTAAATAAGGACTAAAATTGAACGTTGTCTGGAGTCAAAATTCAATAATCTAACCAAGTAACAGCTAAGACTCGTAGGGACTACAAATACCTTAATAAACCGTTTACGAAGCGAGTCGGCGAATATGCCAGACAAAAATTAGTCTGACTGCAGTAACGGCTAATTTACTTCCCGGAGGAACGTAATAACACTATCCCTTTTACCACAGATAGTGGGTATTCGCAGTAATTTAATCTAAGATAACTTTCATACGTTTTGCAGGTAAATTGCTCCAATATACATTAACGGTTTCTAGGCAAGGTTAAGTTTGTTTTAAAACATGCTAGTAGATGCCCTAGATTTATTAAATAAAATCACAATAAGATAACTCAAACAAATTACAAACCACGATAACAAAAGTGAGCCTGTTTAATATTTACTTCCAAAATGTTAGTAGAGCTAGAAGTATAAGAAAAAGAAAATAACAAACAAGACTGACTATTAAATCCGTCAGCTTTTAGAGAGCTATATTTCGCAACCTTGATATTTCGCACCACGTATCGTAATCCATAGCCTACCCTACATTATGCAAGTCACTATGAATCGCTATTATCGGTAAGCCATAATACCATTAGCTCCTTGTGGAGGTTTGTTATTTCAGAGCTTCATTAATTTGCTGTCGGCACACGAGAAGGTTGTATAATACATTTGACCTTCCAAAAATAATGACAGTGTTAAAACGTTTTCCGAAGACCAGAAGTCATCATAATAAATGCACACTTAAAGATCGATGGGTCCTAATATCGTAATATCGTAAAACATTAAATGTGGTCATTTATGTAAAAACGGTTCGGGTCATCAGACCGCCATAAGCGAGGGTCGAACGGGATAGAAATGAGTCGAGTCGACACCCCTAATATCGACCGGAATCATTCATACGGATCCCTAAACTTTTCTCTTTTGAAATTTGTTTTCTTTGTATTCTAAGCCTAGGTCGCCGTTGCCAGCGGCTCCACTCGTGTGGATTTCGGTTTATCAGAAAAATATTATTGCGCATCCTCCGGATATTGTGTATTCTCCCTTAAAAAGCAATCTTGCACACCGGGAATAGAGTCGCATTTTAGAAGTAAACTAATTTCTCAAATTCTATCAGAACTCGTAGGTTCAGAGATTAACCTCTACAAACACAGGTGTGTTTTCACAAAGAACTCTTTATAAAATTAATGAAGATGAAACCGGGATTTGTAACTTGGGCGTCTTTAAAAATAAAATTAAAGGAAGACGATATTCTGCGAAGCTTAAAGCTTAGTTATAAACAGCATATTCCTAACGAAATTTATTTTAAGTCTTAGTAATACAGCGAAAACTTAGCCGCGGTACTTAAATGATACCTTAACGCAATAAACCGCCAACGCAAACAATATTATACCAACCTTTTTTTGAGAACCAGCACTCAACCTTTTTCTTTGAGAGAGAAAGCAAACTTCTTCTCATTCAATACTTTAAATAGGGGACGGGGTCGTCGGGGTGCAGTGTTTAACAAAACAATATCCCGTTTTATTCAGAATAAGCTTGACGTGTCTTTGTGGAGTTTTCAAAAGGTCTCGATCCTTTGTAACAGCCCCTCTATCCTGTAAATAACTTAAATTGGTTTCCAAATTCCAATCTGATTCAGTGCCATGTTGTGGGGGTTTGAAATATTTGATACATCTTATTGGCGTTAGATTTCTGAACAGTGTTAGATGCTAGGGCAGTTATTGAATGTCTAGAAGACCTCATCTCAGTGTTTTAGAACCCTGATTAGGTCTTACGTTTCCTTATCATTGTTAGTATTTTATTTTCAAATTATTTCATTTGTTTGAGCAGAAGCAATTTAAATATCCTTATTGACTTTTGTTATTCTTTTATCTACTCTACAATGAGAAGTCCAGTGCTGAAGCAATACTTAGAATCGAATTTCATTGTATACCGAAACACAAATTGGATCGTGGTCCTCGAAGGCTCAAGTGGCCGAATCGAGGGCCNAATAGCCCTATATTTATTTGCCTTCATCGATTTTGTAGGAAGCTTCGAAATGTCCTTTCTGCTTACATTATTCAAGCATCTACTTAGCAGTTCGGCCTTTCAGATGGGTTTCTTGTGTAAATTGCCACTCCAACTTTGAATATTAACTTTTCGAATCAACTTTCCCGATGTGGTTTCCTAAACTTTCTATACATTGAGTTTCGGTACTTTCGATTGATTAATTCTTTCGACGGGCAAGAAGTATCGTTCGTGAGCTGAATTCTTGTTTGTTTTGAGTGTTCTTGGCTCTTTAGGCGCATCTTGACTAG